ATCATTTATAGCAAGTTTAAATTAATCATAGCTTTTTACACCACAATGATGAACACCTAGCAGACAGTGTACCGTGTGATATGTGAGTGTAATCTCATAATGTTAGATACAGTAGATACGGTAAAGGTGCTGAGTATTAACAAGGGTGGACAAAGGTCAACTTGACACACAGACCATCCAAAAAAACACTGCAGATTTTACTGAGTTGTCCTAAAACAGCAGTTAGTCGACCCAGAACACAAGAGCTTCAGAGTCAGTTCAACATCAGCAACACAGCAGAGGTCACATAAAGACAGAGAGAGAGAGAGAGAGAGAGAGAGAGAGAGAGCATGAAACAGCAGAGGTCACATAAAGAGAGAGAGAGAGAGCCTGAAACAGCAGAGGTCATATAAGAGAGAGAGAGAGAGAGAGAGAGAGAGCATGAAACAGCAGAGGTCACATAAAGCGCAACAAAGTCAGCACAGTTTCCAAATGGACCAGAATTTTAAACATATATTTAAACTCACCACTGACGATTTCAAAGCAGCACAATCTGCTGGTTGTTGTTTGTAAAAAAAGTTACCCAACACCTGAAAACAAACCCATCCATAATTTCCCAATTTAACAAATTGGGAAATTATGGATGGGTTTGTACTTATACTAATTTTACACTGTAAAAAAATTCTCCACTCTGTGTTGCTAAAAGTTGGAGATTGATTGACGGGTGAATGTCATGATATTATTGGTCAGTTAATGCTGGCGTAAGCGTCCGTCACATTTAGTTTTACAGGGCGACACAATGATTGTATTTTGATATATAAATGCAAAGAAATGTAGATTTTGTACATTGTTTGTCAGACATTGTTAAATAGTAAGTAGTAAGGAGTTTAAAAACACAGGTCTTCCCATAACTACGGTGCTCCCAGTGGGCCAATCCCCTCTGTGAAATATTAAAAACATTCAGATTCATGTTGGCGATTCGGGGCCGAAGTATAAAGCTGAAGGCTTTTGGGGTGAACGCAGGTGCCCGAAACAAAAATCCTCCAGATGAATATATGCAACTCAACCTGCATGACTCGCTTCATGAAATGTAAACTGATTCAGCAGGAAAAGGTCGTTCCATATCTTATTGAGCAGACGGAGGGAAGGGGAGCAGTCGTTTAATTAAAATGTGATAATGGGCAGTTCGGTTCATGAGGGGGCTAAAGCCCTCCTGGGTTAAAGGTGCAGTGTGTGTTCCTCTGGATGTCTTCGGCCCCTGGAGCAGGATTGATCTTTGGCTTGCACAGGAGAGCCCGGCCTCCTCTGGGCTTAAGGGCCACACACCTGTGCATGCATCGGGGGCCGGATAAGCCCAGATTAAGCTAAAGTTACCAGCTCTCTCCCTGCAATGTCATTCAAAACCTCAACGGCAGCCGCGCCGCGGACAAAGCGCCTTTTGGGCTGTCCTAATAAACGCCATTAGCTTTGAGACATCAAACATGGAGGATTATGGGATTTCTGGCCCCGGAAAAAAGATGGAGGGTCTGGTGGGACTCCCTCGCTCAGCCGTCCTTTCTCTGCAGAGATTACGCGACAATTTGTTTTCCTTTTTTCCGCCATTTTGTACGTCCCCTCCTCCTTGTGCAGATTCCACACAGAAAGAAGAAAAAGTGGTACAGTAATCCCCTGCAGATGAAACTAAGAGCGCAGTAAAAAGGAAGATTACACAGGGCTTTGTAAATTGTTTCTATACACATGTGCATGGGTATTTGGGAGATCTGTAGGGACTTAACACAAGAGCCGAACACACACACACACACACACACACACACACACACACACACACACAGATGAGCGTCATTTCTGTGCTATTCTTACTCCTGTTGACTGAAAACATGAATCGGTTTAGTATCGCAGAAGTCAAGGAGTAGAGATACAAAGAGAAATTAAGATCCATCTGGACAAAGTGAGAAACTGTGTTTAGGGGATCCAGCGAGCATCGATTTGATTTTTAAGATTATAGACTATAAATAAACAGGACAACAAACAATGTACAGTTATACATATATAAACAAACAAAAACAATAACATTTATTGACAAAAGTGCAAAGGATGCTGAAATAAATATTTATGACCTACATAAACAAACAATACCGACATTATGAAGATTGGATGTTTCTGTATAGATATTCTTAATACCTTCTACTGGCTTGTATTCGGATTTCCCTTAAAACATTACTTTTGTCCACAGGGGTCGCCAGAAACAATACAAATCTGTCATTTTATTCAGGTAACGCTGCGTTTCACTGGTCGCCTGTCAATGGCGTCATATCCCCTTTGTGCCTGCGTCAGCGTTGTGGTTGCCTGACAGTCATACATTGACTGTTTATCCAGTCTGAAGCCACATTTTTACCATCCACTGTTTAGATCTTGGTGCTTTTTAACTCTAGATTTGAACCGGATGAAGGATTTTAGTCATCAGACGTCTGGATCTTAAGTTATCAGAGAAACAAGCTGAGCTAACGTTTGTTTTGGGGGTTAAACTGAAGGACAGAGGGTGAATGTTGTACAAATTGTAAATTATGATTTTTGGCTATATAATAAAGGTTGACTTTGACTAATAGAGCAGAAGTATGACGTTGGATGAAATGGAAATACGCAAGTGAAGTTCGTCGTATTTACACTCAATTACTGGATTAAACTGAAAATAATTTAAGTTTACATTTCGGGAATTGTTCTCTTCCTTTCCGGGAGTTAGATGAGAACATTGATACTGATTTCGTGTTTTGAGCTGCAGGATAATTTTAGCTTAATTTAGCACAGTGGTTCCCAAACGTACCCACTAGGGGTCGCCAAAGCTTTACAGTGGGGTTGCGAGGCCTTCTTTACTCTAAGGGTGTAAGAAAATGTATTAAAAAGATATACAGAAGGCCTTCATGTCAGCATTTTACTTATTATAGCTTCGTCCTGCATTAGAAAACAATCAAAGAGCTGATGAGACGGTCTGTGTAATTGTTACTTCTGCTCAAAATTCATCCAGATTGCTGGTTTTACACAAACTTCCTGCAGTTATTATGTTCACTGTTTGGGTTCATCATACAGTTTATCAGTTGTTCTCTACTGTTACTGTTATTATTAAATATAATATGAAATATCCATAAAATATAGTCAGTTTACTCAAAGATGTTTTGGCCCGTACAGACGCCGTAAGGAACCGTTTGGTTACTGTTCTGCTCTGAACATTATGTGCACCTACTATAAGAACGAGAGAGGCGTCTCCCCACCTGAACAGAGCCATAAGTCAAGTCGTCCCTAACAGGAGTCAGAGGTTGGGCTGCTGCTAATCCATGTAACACTAGGAGAATAATCCTCAGGGCTGTGGCCTGACCGCTCTGCAGTTTTCTTTTCCTCTTTTGTCTTTCTGGTAAGTGATCTTGGAACATTTTTCAACGATGGCCCCCAGTCTGCAGAGAGAGGAGCGGGGTCCCACAGACAACTGTGTTTTATACTAATTTATGTGTCATGTTGTTCCTCCTCAGGCAGCACCAGTGCTTCAGTGTTTCTCAAATGGAGGTACCCCTAGGGGCACTGCTGAGTACTGCAGGGGGGTACCTGAGGTTGTTCTCTAAATGTTATTTAAAAAATTATTTCTAAAATAAGGACTAAAGATTTATACATATTCTACATATTCTGTGATACATGATTATCTACAGCGCTTACCATTAAAATGTTATCCCTTTGTGATCTTAAAGGTTATAAATGAGATTTAAAGCATTAACATATCAGCTAACAGCTATTCTCTATATACAGACACAGAGTCACATGGTGTCTCTCCCTCTCCCTCTCTCCCTCTGCCTGTGTTGTATCGCAGCCTCTCTGTGGTTTGTTTCCATAGCCGGTCTGCTCCGACTGAAACTGCTGTTTTTATCGTCTACGTCGGTGAATTAAGGATTTATTTCCACCAAACCAGAGTTGGTGATTGTTGGAAACACTAACAGAGACGCTTTTAATGAGTTTGATTCTGTTTCTGTCCACTTTGAATGAAGTTACGATGATCTGAAGGTAAAATGAGTGTTTCTGTCTCTGGAGTCTGGTGGAGAGTGATAGTGATATTACGGCTGTTTGTGGTTAAACTAAAGGTCTATCTCTGTAGGGATCCTTTCCATAATGCTGTCAGACACTGACAATAACAACCCTGAGTCTGTCAGTGGAACAAACACAAAAAAGTCACATCTTACTTTAAGGATTTATTTTGACCAAACAAGAGTTGGTGATAGTTGGAAAGTCGGTTTTGGTGAATTTTATTTTCTTTCTGTCTGAGATGTCAGTGCTCTGGTGCAACATCCAGTGGCACCAACTGAATTTTGTATATATAACCTTTAGTGAAGATATTGTTAATTCATTTTTCAGTTTGTGGGAAAACTACAGCCCCCATAATTTATTCATTTATTCTTTTTTTTAAGGTTTTAGCTGTGATCTTTGCTCTCCATGTCCAGCCCACATCCGCCACTCAACTAAGGACATTAAACTCATGACAATCTCGGGCTTGTGGGAAATGGTGTCTGTAAAAGGAAGCTAAAAACAGAATTATTGAATGAACAACTACTAATCTGCAGTAACAACATGGTGTTTGATTTCTATCTAATATCTCCTGAAAGTCTTTTAACACTTGATATTTCTTAAAGGTGTAAATTGCTCCACATGATTGCGACAGGTATTATACAGGTAATAATGACAAAATAGGATTCCATTAATCCTGCTGGGAGCCGAGCGCCGCTGACACAATCCTGTACCGAAGCAGGAAAGAAAGGCAGCTAATCTAAATGGTTGTAATCCTGGCAGCTTGATGGACAGATCTGTGTATCTTGTAACGTACGGATCAGCTCGGTGGCAATATTAAAGCGATAAGAATATTAATGCCCAGATGAAACAGATGAAGCATTTGACAGTAACTTTACCATCAGGATGTGATTAGAAATATTCCTTGTGACGTTTCCTCCCATTTCCTAAAGGTGTGTTTTCTTTTTGTTTCCCCGCAGCCTCCATGAATACACACACATACACACAGCGTGGCCTTCGGCGGGCGGAGACATCGACACTCAAGCCACGTCCAAAGGAGGATGCACCCGCTTCTCCCCTCGGCCGACATTGCGAAGGTCTCTTCTGCCTTAATCCTCTTTGACTTTATTCATGCAAAGGTCATCTCTGTTTCTGGAAATGGAGGATGGTTGTGGAGGGTCTCCGAGCTGAAGAGCCATGGAAGAGCCTGGAAGACGCTGTGTGTGTGTGTGTGTGTGTGTATGTGTGATTTCAGGATCATTAGTCACCAATAAAGCCTGATACGTGATCTCAGAGATTGCTGCCTGTTCCTGGAAAAGATACTGCTGTCATTGTGTTTCCCCAGCAGATATTAGACACCTCGTGTTTTGGACATTTTGGGATTGTTTTATTTTCAACTGATTGATTGGCAATCTGCCGATGTAACCGGGCACGGATGGCTTCATCAGATGACAGCAATTCAGAGTTTCCTCTTGTTAAAGGATGAGTGTGTAGGATTTAATGAGAGTTTAGTAAGATTGCAACCAACTGAGTACTGTTCGCGTTTAAGTGTGTGCGAGAAACGACGGTGAACATGAAACAGTGTTTACTTTGTCTGTTAGATAAAAACTTTCTAAGATAACAAAAACACAACGATTCCTATATTCAGGTGATTAAACACTAATGAAAACAAACCTATGAATATTATACTACATTCCTCAATGTTTCACACTGGACCTTGAATTCACTTTGGCCGAATGAAACACATCTTGGAGTTTGGGGCTTTGAAGTGTTATGAATCTTTTCTTGCCAAGACACGTCCTGCGTTGGTGATTGTTGGAAGGTTTTGATGAGTTGTATTTTGGTTTCTGTCTCTCTGCTTTGGTGTGAGATGCTGATGCTTTAATGTGACATTCAGTGTCAAGTGAATTTATATATGACCTTCGAACTGAACTTCCCGTTAGCAACCAAACACCAAAAGCAAATGTTTGAAAGAAGTGATGTAAAATCCTCCCTCTTTAGTTTAAAGTTCAGGTTTTCCACCTGGTTTTATTTTGCTGTTCTAAGTGAAGGAAGGTTGAACGGAGGTTTGAAGCGGACACCACTGATTGGTCGTTATTTAATACTGAATTAAAGGCAAAATAAGTCCTAACATTGGCTTGTTATTCTGGGCCGCCAATACATCAGTTGAAGCCTAATTACATGAAGTGCTGCAGCACCCAGAGGGGAGCCACGCACCAGCAGCCATGTAAAACAGAGGAAACACACAGCAGAGAAGTGGCAGTCAATTTAGCCCGAGTGCAAAAGAGAAAAGGTCACTTCTCAGCAGAGACAAAGTACTAATTAAGAGGACCCAGTCCACTGCCTCCACACAGAGGCAGTTAAAAAGTCTTCATCTGTCATAAAAGCCTCGGTGTCGGGACGTCAGAGAGCTGCTGAACTGGAACAACACAAAAACCAGAGAGCTGCACCGCTGGAGGGACGGACGAGGAACTGCTGAGGAAGTTGGGACAAATTTATTCATAAGCTACACATTTAGATAAATCGTGGCCTTTTCACTCCTCCAGTACGGTCCGTTTATAATATTAGCTCATTTAAAGCTAATGTACCGAGCGTTAACATTCTTACAAAGTGCACTAAAGTACTGAAACTAAAGTCCTTCAGCCAATCACGGATCACTTCCTCAGGCAGAACTACTGTTTATTTACTAACTAACAGCCTGATTCTTAAATATAATATTCATAGGTTTGTTTCCATTAGTGTATAATCACCTGAATATAGGAATCATTTTGATGTTACCTTAGAATGAGCTGGTTATATTTACAGATATTGCCTTTCAGGAAGCAACCATGTTGAACTGCCATGTTTCTACACTGGCACTAGATTGGGTCGTTTTTCATGCTTTTCATGGCCACTGTAGTTTCTCCCTCACGCTTGGAAAGGGAGGGTGAAGTGACTGAGTTGCGATCTACACCTGTAGATACCACTAAATCCTACATACTGAACCTTTTAACTGTTAAATAAAAAGTAATAAAATGTTCCTGTTTGGTGGATAAATGTGAGACGTTGCATCTTCACAGCTAGAAAGGAGGAAGTGGGTTTTGGTGACATTAAAAGTGATAAAGTTGCGGTGATTGGACAACGTTTGGGCAGAATTCACAGGGATTGGCTGCAACATCGCAACTCAATGCTGTGTTAACTATCCTGTACATCAGTGCTTCCCAACCTGGGGGTCGGGACCCTCGCTATGGGTCACCAAAGCTTCACAGGGGGTCGCGAGGCCTTCTTGATTTTCAGACATATAAGAAAACTTTAAAAAATAAACACTATCTAAGAATTTTGTACATTTTTGTGATGAAAACTTAATGTATTTATTTAACTTTGTAGACATTATTCACAGCACCTTTACTCTCTGCTAAACAACCAAAGAGCTGATAGAACAATGAGAAGAAAACACTGAATTTGTCCAGAAAAAGCCTGTTAAGTCTGTATGATTGTTAAAAATAATAATTAAAAAAAAACATAATACAGACAGATAATTGTAGAAAAAGTTCCTAAAAATATCACTAAAACTCATCTCTGCTCAAAATTCATCCAAATCTCTGGTTTTACACAAACTTCTTGCAGTTACTGAGTTCTCTGTTTAGGTTCATTGTGCAGTTTATCTGCTGTTCTCTACTGTTATTCTTATTCAATATAATGAATGAATTATCCATAAAATATTGTCAGTTTACTCAGTGATAGAAAAAGGCTTCCTTAAGGAAAAAGGTCGTCGTACATCCTTCTTGAAATAAACCAATGACGAGAGAATGTGAAACCTTTAATTGAATTGAACTGTATGTGCATTATCGAGGACGTTCTCACCTCTAATGTGAATGAATGTGTTGTTGATATTGTGACAGGCGCTTTCTCCGATCCCAGTCTCAGTCGCAGTCAGATCCAATGGTGTCATTTAGACAAACGCTTCCCATTTCCAACAAAACTCCCAACGTCCCTTTGATGCCAGGCATCCAGAACTGGCACTCAGTGTAATTTGCCCTCGCCAGGGTCTTTTCACACGCACACACACACACACACACACACACACACACACACACACACACACACACTGCGTTCCCTGTTTGCCTGTTTTATTTGCTTTCATTATTGTGTGTGTGTCTGTGGGTTTTTTCCCCCCCTCATCTACTACTTCTTCTCATCTCTGCAGTTTGATTGTTTTTCGGTTTAATCGCAGCTTATTCCTGGGCCTTGTTTCCTTCCTCGTGTTGTCATTTCATCCTCCTCCTCCTCCTCGTCTCTGAGGGCTTGTTTTCTGTTCGTGCCGTGGCTCTTTTCATGTGTCCCTCGCCGGCAGAAATTGACGCTTAAATACACAGGAGGAAAAAGAACAAAACAAACAGACAAACAGAGAACAGATGCAGAGCGGCTGCAAATTCCTCCGTCTCTTCTTTTAACTGTGTGACATTGGAAAAGAGCGGGAGTGAAAAGTGATGGTGCAACACGGTGAAACATTTCACAACAAAGGCTGAGTGCGTGGAGAGCCAAGGCTGCGTACCTACTGTATATGTGGAGACAGACATGTAAAGACAGATAAAGGTACTCTCACATGCTGGCGTTGAATCCGAAGAGATAATTCCACTTTATTACGGTCATGTTGCTGTAGTTTGAGACAGTTTTTGTGATAACGTTGCCGTTCGCTTATGTTTTCTCTTCCAAATAAGTTCGGCTTTGTTATCGTCTCGTGTTTCTTGACCCTTCAACTTGCTCAGTTTGATGATATCAAAATCGATTGGAAGTACAGGACAAAGAGAAAAGCAAAGGCTTCAGTGTCCTTCAAAGGGAACTAGGTTGTATGGGGGACAAGAACTTTGTTTAAACTACACTGAGGCCCAAAGAATCATAAGCCCTTAAAAAACAACCAAAATGATCATTACAGAAAGAACCACAGTTTAGGTTCAGAGAGGTTTAAGGAACTAAAATCACTTGGTAAACGTCCTGGTTAGAGGAAACAAATGTTGACGACCTCTGTAAGAATATTCGGGGCCGTCAACAGCGCATTGGGAAGCTGTTATTTGTACAACCATAAGAGGTTGCGTCAGGCAAACATAAGTGATGTAAGCATTTAAACAGTGGACCAATGTTGTCATTTGTCTCTCTGAGAAAAGCATCTGGTCCCAAAAAGTTAGTTAGGCTCAGGTTTGGTGGAAAGATCACTATAGTGACAAGAAATGTGTATTTTCCCTTTGCTTTATACTTGTAGCCATACACATATAATACATACACGCAGCCTTGCTGAGATGTGTAAATGTCATCGCCATATTGGGCAAGACTGGCCTGTAAAGTTAAAGTGCTTTTTATCCAGGCCAGTCTTATCTGGTCCAATATCAGATTGTCAATGCGCCATATTTGTTTTACAGGAAGTCAAAATGGTTGGATTTTGATTTTTTTGCATAAATTGTTAAATAGGGGAACAATATGACTGAGGATGTGATCTTAAAGGGTTAAACTACTCTTCTTTATTACAGTGTTTCACTCAGATTTATTTTTTTGTCAGAAAATCAAACCCTGGAAAATAAATAATCAAATTTTAAACTTAGATTGTTTCACTTTATACAGCTTCAGATAATAAAAGTCAGCGTAATGACGGGTAGACATTTTGGGGAAGCTCACAGTTTTGCTTTAACAGAATACACGCCGTCACTCCTCGACTCTCCATCTGCCATCTCGACTCGACAATCTTATCAGAGCTTTTGCAGAAGGGACTCCAGAGAGCGGCGGAGAAAGCGGCCTGCAGAGGATGTGAATGTGTGAACCGCAGTGCGCCCGACGCCGCAGACAGATAACCAACAGTTTATCAGTGAGCCAGAGAAACTCTGCTGGAAGAAGAGGGGGGAAAGCCATCCTGCTGTAATCAGAGGAGAACGAGAGGCGGAGGCGGAGGTGAAGAGGGAAGAAATGGAAAGAGCAAGACGAGAAGAGGCAGGAAGAAAGAGAAAATGAGAGAGGCCAGGTGAGTCAGAGGTGACTGTCTTTAGTATAGCACCAGACCCATTACACTGCAGCGGTCTGAGCCGAGCCGGGCCTTTCAACTGGGAGGTAAATTTGAGGAATCGGGGAGGATGATGGAAACGATAAAGAAATGGCGGTATCCTGCCACTGCAGAGGCACTTGACATTTCTGATGACATTTGAGCCCGTTTGAATCTGCTTGAAATTGCAGCGTTTCATCCCGACGTAACGCTTCGCTTTAGAAAAAAAAAACCTTCTTATCTGCGAGATTATGGCGCCGTATTATATGTGGGTATTATGCAGCGCTAATAGTGCATGTAGATACTTCACAAATGATACTAAAAATGCCTCGCATCACACACACAAGGAGGATTTGGCCCTTCGGTAAAAGAATACTTCCGAGTATGCAAATGCCCACAAAAGAATTAGGGCTTAACAGATTTGACTCACTCAAACAATGGCATGCGGCTCTTTTCCCAGGATGCAACTGTCCGTCAGTTTGCAGGATTAAGGCTCTGGGTTGTGACAATGTGTTGAATGAAAAAGGACAAAGAGACACCTCCTTTATTACAGGGATATGACTATAAATGCTTCTCTTATTATGCCTGACGAATGATTAAAGCCTGAGGAGGGAGCCAGGGAGAGAGGCCGAGGCTACGCACTGCCCCCTGTAGGATAATCCTGCTCACAGCAGCTCTGGTTTTAATGTTTTTTTGGCACCGACTCTGAGTGGTAGTGATCTGTTTTCTGTGATGAAGTGTAGGACTACTGCAGAGCTGAATGGGCTCACTGTTCCCCGCACCAAACCAAAAACAAGCTCACGTTCTAATAACTCAGTTGTCTGCTGAAAGAGAGAGTTTTTTATTTTTATTTTAGGCTGACGCACAGAGACTGACTGAGCTTTGGGCCTTTTGGACACCATAAGTCCCACGCACCATTTAGCGTCCCCTAGTGGCTTCATAGTTTACTGCATCCCATAATGTAAATGTGCAACACAGTGGGAAGGGAGTTAAAATAGTTTGTCCTGAGGGTGGCGCTATTATAATAAACAGTGGAAGTCCTGACTCTGTCGGCTACCGACTAACCCAAAAAATAGTTAAAGACATAGAGCTGAGGCTGAATGAAGACAACCTGAGACGACCCCACCTGTCAATAAAAGTCCTAAATTATTATTATTATTATTATTATTATTATTATTATAGCCTTAATATAATTAAAACAAGTGGCTTTTGTAAAAATTCACCACCCATACAGTTGTCAGGAACGGGGAAATTAGGCATTTTAATATTGGGCCTTATGGAGATTGACTCACTGCTGGAGCCAGCCTCTAGTGGCCATTGGAGGTACTGTAGTTTTTGGTGTTTCATTTCTCAGCGACAGAGATTGCTGCTTGGTGGCGCTAGAGAAAACTTTGCCAAAGTGCCCATTAAATATTTCCAAAAGAGTTCACATTTTCGGAGCAAAGACAACAAGTTGACCTGTAGTTCAGTTGGTTCCCATTTATACCTAAATCACCGTTGTTATATCGGAGTGAACCTGGACAAATACCGCCAGAGGTTAATGAGTAAATATGTTTGTTTGTTTCGAGGGAAGAGGGGGCTTTAATGTAGGCGAACTGTTCTTGTTTCGTTCTTGTCAACGGTTGTGAACACCCTGAAGGCTGAGTGAGGTCTGAGGAAACTTCCTCTGCTGCCTGCAGGGAGGGGCTGGTTGTGAGCAGATGTCACCTTATTGATCCGCAGCTGTTACACAGGAGGTTCAGGACAGGTGAGGTGACGGGATGTTGAGGTGGTAACCAGGGGATCTCTCTCACATGGTTCCTTCAACAAAAAGCCAATGTGATTGTTGGATTGTTGCAGAAAATAAACTGTTCATGTTTTAAGTTCCTGATACTTGCACATTTTGTTCAGCAAGATAATCTTATAAAACACAGGAAGC